TGAAGCAGCAATTTGGAAGGTCACGCAAAGCTACATGAATGCTGTGTGGAGGAAAGGGTGACCTGAGTGTGTGCACGACTTAAGCGGCTTCACAGATATTGTAGCCATACACCGTGACATCGCCAGCATCTCCCAGGAGGTCAACGAAGAGAATGTGGCTGAGGTCTTGGAGAGCTACTCTGAAGAGCTCAGCACAGAGAACCTGCTGCTCCTGGAACAGGAGCAGAGAATGGAGGAGTCAACAGATAAGGAGGAAAACCCTGCACCCATGACGCTGACTCTGAAGGTGTTGAGCACTGCCATGAAGCTCCTTGCTGAGAATTAATCCAACATCAACAGGAGTACATCTGTGAGGGCAGTGGTGGAGAAGGGCATGCTCTGCTACAAGGAGTCATCTCCAAATGGCACTGTCGCAGTAGTAGTATCCCTATTTTTTAATGAATGGGTATTGGTCTTCTAACAATGGACGTAATTGGTGGATAGGGATGCTATAGGTCATATAGGTTGGCTGTTTGGAGACACGGGTTACCACAGGGGGGTGTAGTAACACATTTCTGCAACTGTACAGCAAGAGGTGTTGATGGTACAGCAGTAACGCACGAAATTCTCACCAATATGTCAAGGATTCAAGCCTCGGCCCGGACACACGTGAGAAGGGTGTTATCCAGTATGACCCTCACTACCAAACACCACATGTTTCCTGGTCCCTGGTTTCCTCCTGTACCAACACTGGATAGAGCAGCCAAATGGTTAGCTTTACAAAAACAAGTTTTTCATTTTTGACATGGTTATCCCTCAATGTTAAAAACTTAATGGATGAATAAAACATGAAACAAAATGAACTATCTATAATACAATTTTATGGAATACGCAACACATCTGTCAACACAAAGCCTAATTTGAAAATTAAAAATAATTATGCATTAGAATTAGATAACATTATAAATTTATTTTAATAAATTTCAATCAATAAGCCATGCATTTGCTTACAATATACAGTAATACCTCGATTTACGCGGTCACTTGAGCCCGCGGAGGTCCGCGTAAAACGTGAAACGCGTAAATGGAATAACAGAACATATGGGATTAATTAAAATAGAGACTGGGCCAACTCCCAATCTCAACTTTATTCGACACTACATCTTAATTTTATGATGGTATGCACACACAATTAATATTTAAGAGAAATACAGTCACCAGCATAATGTCCATTAAAATAACGGACTCAACTCCCCTCCCCCCCCCCTCTCTTCCCACGATCGCTGGCTCCTCCCTCTCTGAGAAATGTTTGGGTGAAAACACTAGATTTTAAGGTATCGTAATAAATAATACCTCAGACTAAAGTTAGGATAATATAAATGACATTGCTGGATTCCTTGCAAGACCAGGAATATTTTGAATATACACGTCATATATTTAGCACAAAAGATAACATATTTGCTCTGTGTAAACAAAATTCTTACATTAGATCTAAAATTTGTATGTCTAATGCAAAATCCATGATGTTTATATTCAAAATGATTATCATATTGCAAGAATTCCAGCAATGTAAATTATATTCTGGCCGGGTAATTTGTATGAATTTTATGAGCTAAAACAAATATCTTCAGTAAATAAAAAAAATATACTTCACCCAGACACTATCTGTCAATCAAAATACCCCACCTTCGGCTCCCCCCACCTCTTCCCACGCTCGCTGGGTCCCTCCCTCCCTCCCTCCCCCCTACCCCCACCTTCCCTCCCTACCAGAGAAATGTTTGGGTTAAAACAGTATATTTACATTTTTAGTAATAAATAATACCTCAGACTAAAGTTAGGATAATATAATTGACATTGCTGGATTCCTTGCAAGACCAGGAATATTTTGAATATACACGTCATATATTTTGTACAAAAGATAACATATTTGTTCTGTGTAAACAAAATTCTTACATTAGATCTAAAATTTGTATGTCTACGTGTAAAGCGAGAAACGCGTAAAGTGAACAACATAACATATGGGATTAATTGAAATAGAGACCGGCCGACCCCCAAACTCCACTCTTTCCCCACACAATACGTACGTTTTAGTAAAAATAACATCTTAACTTTATGATGGTATGCACACACACACATAATATAGAAGAGAACAATCAATAAAAGAATAATATACTGTAGGTTAGGTTAGAAAAAACAAGGTTAGGTTTAACACTTACGTTAGTACAAGAGATGAGTCGGCGTACGGGAATGGAGGCTGGTTCCGAGGCAGAGGGCAGGCTACTGGCCCTCAGGTGAGTCATCATCACTGTCATCCACACTTATCAGTGCCTCCCTGACAAATCCCTCAAAGTCACCATCACTGTCTCTGTCTCTGTCACTATCACTGGCTTGGGCTGGCTGTGGGTTCACGCGAAGAACTCGGTAATGCTTTATTGACGGCTGGTGTTGATGTTGTCGTGATACATCTTGATGTAGGGTGCCATAGTCTGCAACAGCTGGGTAGTGAAGACTTCATACCAGCTATCGTCAGGGTCGTCGGAAAGGAGGAGCTTGAGTTTCTCAACACACTCGATGGCACCCCTTACATTGCTATGCGATAACTTGCGTTCTTCTTGGGATGACGCACCACCTGCCTCTTCACTGACGTCATCATCATCTAACATCTCGTCGGCAGTCACATCAGCATCCCTTATCACCTCCATAATGTCGTCGTTGGTGGTCTCGGAGAAGCCTGCAGCTGTAACACTCTGCGCAGCTTCTCTGGCAAGGTCCACTGCTACTGCAACAGTCTGAACATCACCAGTCACAGATTGACTCTGCCTCCCACCTGGAATACCGTGCAACACATGTCTCCATGCATGACGAACCGTTGCTACAGACAGCTGATCCCATGCCTCCACCAAGAAGTCCACAGCTTTCTTGACGTTGAATTTTCTCCAAAAATGTTTCACAAGTACTTCTTGCTCTGCCAACTGTTGTTCCTCGTTGTCTTCGCTCTTGCTATTGGTGTCACCCAGGTTACGCAACTCATCCTTGGTGTTGGTATGGTCGTTCAGGAGCTTAAACTTCTTTGCAGAGAATGTTGCATTCACATTACAGATCAATTCTTGGTCCATGGGCTGTATTAATGACGTAGTGTTGGGAGGAAGGAAGACCACTTTTACGTTGGGGTGAAGCTCCAACAGCAGGGGCGAGTGTCCTGGTGCGTTGTCAAGCAGCAACAAAATCTTGGATGGAACATTCTGTTGCTCACAGAATTTCTTCACGTCGGGAACGAAACGGTCATCAAACCAGGAGAGGGACAGAGTAGAGAACATCCACGCCTTACGTGCGGTCAGCCAGTGGACATTTAGCTTGTCCATGCTCTTGTAGGCGTGCGGCTTGCGTGCTGTGTGGATCACCGATAACTTGAGCTTACAGGTAGCGGAGGCATTGGTGGTAAACAGGACGGTGATGCGCTCCTTCTGCAACTTCCGGCCCCGACACTTGCTGGCATTCTTCACAACGAAGGTCTTGGAAGGTAGCTTTTTCCAAAAAAGACCAGATTCGTCCATGTTAAACACCTGGTCGTCGGTGTACTGTCCTTCCTCCATAATCTCACGTAAAAACGGAGGAAAATCCCTAGCCGCAACACAGTCAGCACTAGCTTCTTCACCACCAATATTAATGTTGGTGATCTTGTTCATCTTCTTAAACCTCTGTAACCACCCAGAGGAAGCATTAAAGGGTTTGGGCTCTGCAATTCCCATCTTACGTGACACTGCAGCATACAGATCACGTGCGTACTCCTTAACTGAGCGTGTGTCCACCGCCATGTTCCGTCGCGCCTGATGAATCAAGTAGCTCACAAGTAAATTCTCCGTCTTGAGAAGCACCTGGTTGTGGCAATACTTGATCATAGTAGCACCTGTAGACTTTGTGATGTTCATGTGCTCCTTTATCTTGGCTGCATCCTTCTTGATCGTCCGGATCGTAGATTCGTTAACCTGTCTTGTTCCTTTTTCCAACTCTTGGATGATCTTGTATTTAATTTCGTAGCTTAGGGAACGTCGTATCTTCTTTGGCTTAGGGTGGCTGGGTCCAGGTAATGCAAGGTTTCTTTGTGGTGATGGTGGGCCGGTGGAAGCCATTCTTATGGAACAATAGATACCGATATATACGATATATACGGTGTAGCCTGAAGGGGTGTAACCGGCGTGGGTAGGTCAAGGGGCTTGAACGCTCCCACAGCAGGGCACGTCATATTACATTAAACCAATCACAGCTAGCGGAGGAGGGAGGTTAGGACGCCTGGCCCAATTACAGTCTGATACGTCATATGACGTCACAGATAACGCAACAAAGACATACACTGCGCAACCTACTCGCGCCGCTTACCCAACATGGCGGGAGAGGGCAGGCAGGAGAGGGCGGGAGAGATGGCGGGAGGTTTGAATCCAAAAATGGTGTGGAGCGAGATGACTGCCAGCCGCTCTCCGCGTAAAAGAGTACACGCACCGCATAAAGTGAGCATTCCGCGTTCGGCAGGGTACCGCTTAAACATGGAAACGTGTAAAAAAACGCGTAAAGCAGGGTAATTTATATATATATGGCAACAGCACAAATTCTCCTTAGAATATCCAGGAAATACATATGAACATCATCAGCTGCTACTGAGCAATAAATTAAAGACTAACTGAAAATATAAATGACTGATACATGCAGTACACAGCATGCCTAATAATTTTATCAAGAGAGCTTCTCAGTGTAACCCCTTGATGTAGCTATAGCTGTGATGGGGCGGCACTACTGGCTGGGTGACAATATTAGGCCAAAGTTATAACAAATCGGGCAAGCCACGAAACAACGCTTTTGCAATCATGGACATCTACAAAGAAGCAACGTTACAGTGAAACAACGTTGTCTGGGACAATGTTCTATACTGTATGTATATAACTTACTTCGCGTAAGGAAAAATCAATTTACCTTTTTAGGAATGTAACCTTTTTATAAATTAGGGATCTTAAGCGAGCATTTCTCACCTGTGCAGCCAGTACTTGTAATAGATGTGTTGAACAGCTCCAGGACCCTTAGCTTGGAAAGTTTCAATAAGCTCTTCAATAGAATTAAACACCCTGGCCAAAAACGTTTCTCGGTCAAGTTCACAGAGAGACGATTTGTACTCCTTGTTATGTTGCCGGACAGCATCATTTATGCAGTAAGTGGGGTTACTGTTTGACAAGTTCACTCCACATCCTGAAACGATATCTCTTAAAAATTTCATGCAATTACTACAAAATACAATTAACTGTAAGTATGTATAAAATGTCATAGCATTAGCACATGTGTGCTGACAGTGCATGTGATATTACTGCAGTGATACTGTATCCCCGGTAGCCGGAACAAATGGAGAACAGCTCCTCTGGGGATGAGAGATTTTCGGGTAACGAGACGACTCTCTCAAACCAGGAAAAATCCCATATCCCCAGAATTTTTCTGGGTACTGGGAAATGTTTCAAAGAGTCTAAACTGCGCACCTCACGCAGACAAACACTATTGCACATCCCTGGAATGTTTCTGGGTGCTGGGGAAAGTATTCTGAGTCTAAGAGAGTATAAACTAGGTATCTCATCTCGACTCTACTGTATACTACACATCGCATCATCTCATCTCGCATGGACAAACACTCTCCCATTATATTTACACCATGGGCATGAGTGAATATATTTACGGCTAGTGAAAAAGTGCATAAACTTTTATGTACAGCATCTCTTCTAAGTGTTAGATAGATGAATTTGGTACCATAATGCTCCTGAATAAATTCTCTACAAGGCTTCTCCAATAAAAGATCCTTAAACAAACTACTTCAGCAGGATATAATGATGGGGACTCAATGCATATGATATTTTGATGAACAAATATGAAGAGAAATACCCAGAGGCCACACGAGAAGATGTGAAAAATAAATTAATTCATTGAGAACCAACTTTAGAAAGGAATTGAGGAAAATTACCAGTTCAAAGAAATCATGTGGTTCACTGACTCTTATATCCTTTAACAAATTTCCATGACTATACTAATGTCTTTTCATGCACCATTATTTCATCCACCGACACTTATTCTTTATTTTCTGAACACAATAAGCTACTGCAACGGCTAAACATGCTATATCTGCGTCAGCCATGTTACCTCTATGAGCGTTGGTGTCGTACTGACAAGTTTTGGGGCAATAATATTGAGCCGTGTAGGGGGTATGCATATTGCCTAATAATAAGGAGTCAATATATTGTATGAATAATATTGATCGCATAGGGGCCGCTTAAGCCTAACATTAAATTATTAAGTAAATTTCTGTGTAAGAACATGATTAGTATAAGATATACGTACTGTAAATATTAGATTCAAAGCTAAGCAACATGAGCAAAAATGTTGTACAGAGAAGCAAATGACAAAGAACACAAGAGACAAAGAAAACTTGAAAATATTTATTTTTCAAAACAAGGATAAAGATACAACACAGGTTGTGAATAAAAATGCTTTTAAGATAAACTAAAATAAGAGCAAAGAAATAAATTTTTTGAACACTTACCAACATTTGCTATAATTTCACTGCCAATTGTTGTTGCCTCAACAATCACTCCTCCAATCTTGATGTTAGTACCAACATAGATATCGTTGGGCCACTTGAGGTGGATAGGGATGTCAGCATAGCCGGGGTGCTCTCTGACCGCCTGCACCACTGCTATAGCTATGAGGTGTTGCAGGAAGGTGAGGTGTTGACCCAGGTTGGACGACAGAGCAATGTGGAGCTGCGTAGTGAACATGGCACAGCCTAGTGGAGACAACCAGGAATTCCCACTACGACCTGTAGTAAAAATGGGAGAAAACTATCTAGAATATTGCTCCAATTTTTAATCTTGTAAGCCTTTTCTTGCTATGTTGCCAGCAGGTCAAACTCAAGGGCAAAAATAGAAATCCCCAATAACCAATCAACACTATGCCCTCTGCTTTCTGTATGACCACATCCTTCACTTATAAGTACTTCAACCCATCCTTCAATCTCCTTTGTCTTCCTCTCTCCCTGCCACTGTCTACTTCTGAATCATACACTCTTTCTGCCAATTTCTCATTTCCCATTCTCTCAATTGTTCCTACCAACTTTGCAAACCTTGATCAGTTCTTTGTCCAACACATATTTCATATATTTCATTTACATGTTCCCATATAATTTCTACATATCTTATTATCTATACCAACTTCACCTCACATTGTGCTCTCACAAACATAATTTCTTACACTTTTAATTTGCTTCTTCATCTTTCATCCAGAGTGCAAGACTAGAATAGAAAACAAAAGGCTTGAGCTAGGACAAATAGCAGAAACAAACCTCTCATACAGTATTTGATAACATCCTCAATGGGCACAAATATAAAGTAAACCATACAATTAGTCTGATCAGAAGAGATCAGATATAATGTACTATTCAAAACCTTCATCAACATCATATTATATTTCCTGAATACCTCAGCAATTTTAATTCTTACTAAAAAGAAAAGGTTTTTAGGCATGATGAACTTCTTCCTATAAGAAGTAACTTCTCTGACTAACTTGTTTCTTTGGAAACATTCAAAGAAAACAATGGTAGAAACATACCTTAATCTACAAGGTAACATGTTTCTTACCTTTGCCCTGGGTTTGTTGTGTTGGCAGCACAACAATGCCATGAACAAGAGGTGGATGGCCTGCAGTCACTTTCATGCTGGAGGTCATCACATCACAGTAGATCACAAGGCGGCCAATAGCTGATGTCTTCAGAGCCTGATACAAAACCACAAGAATTTGTTTTGAAAATTTAAGTTAGCTAGGTTTCCTACTCAAATAATAACTAAGAATAAATAAGAAAAAATAACAGTAATGTATATAGTACTGGTACAGTAGAACGTCGATATAACACGAGATACGTTCCAAGAGAGGTCGCTTTAAACCGAATTCACACAAAATCGAAGCGTTGTTTCAATGGAATAAATTAGTTTGGTACTTGAGACAAACACAAAATACTAAAAAGACTGAGAGTCTACCCAGCTGCACCTCAGACCATCTCCTAGAATAAACCAAACATTGTTTTTTGTAGTATTATGTTAAAACAAACTCATAAATCAACACAGCTAAAATTAATGGAAGCAAAATGGTCTGTATATTAGCAATCAGCTGATGTGAGAGGGTGGCCACGCTGGTGCCGCACACCGCCCGCCTCTCGTCTGACTCACCAAGCACTCTCACTTTCCTCTCAACTTAGTTTTTCATTACTTTATGCTATCTAAAATAGATTTTCACTCAACTTTAATTAGGCAATTGAAGATGCTGAGCCCAACTTGACCAGCTCATTATCCACATCACTGTCCAAATTGGCGCCCCACACTTGAAGCACCATTTCCTAGCTGCATTGCTTCCAGCACCTTGATTTTCTGCTCCAGTGTAATTGCTTGCCTTGATTTCTTGGTATCTAGGGTAGTTAATGATCATGTGACTGGCCTCTTGGACATAGTGTCGATGGTTGATGCATTTGGTAGAAGGAAATAGAGTCACACAGTATGTCCGTTCACTAGAGAGTCAGCGCGAGACTTGAGGATGCATGAGGGTGTGGGAGGGTGGCAGGCAGCTGTGTAGCATGCCCAGAGATGCGTCTGGCGGTAAACATTAGGTGCAAAATTTTAAATAGTGTGAATTTCCATATGATGCACCAGAATGACTTGCGTAAAATAGGAAAGATTCTTTAAATTAATACATTGTCCTTAATTGCTGGTGTCGCTTTAAATCAATAATTTTAAAATGAAATGCTTTAAATCGACGTTCTACTGTATAAACAAACATCTGCAAAATACGGAAGAGTACTGTATATAATGTAGAGAGAATATGATCCTTGGAATTTCTGCCCAGACCTCTCTACTTAGTGAAGAGGTGCATCCCTTACATAAAGAATCAGATTACGGTATTTCACATAAATTCAATAACTGACTCATGGTATGGAGTTAGCTTTCAAATGGTATCTTGATATTAAGTAAATGAATGGCTCTGGTGCTCTACACAGCTATCTATCTATTTATGTCAAAACTTCCATAATTTCTAATGCTATAATTTGCAATTTGTCTAATTTAGATATTTAACAAAATTCCTAACCTCAAAGTGTGCACATGTATACCAGGGATGCCAAAATTGCACAATCAAACAACTACCTGTTTTATAAAATACAGGTACAGTGGCATTGCAATAATTCGCAGGTTAGGTACCAGAGGACATCGTGAATTATCAAATTGCAAATTACAGTTTCATTAATTTTCAGTAAACTTCTTCTTATCCGGACTAATTGGGGTGGAAGGCTGTCACACATAGGGACGAAAAGCCATTGGAATATAATGAAGGTTAAACCAAAGCCAAGGCAATTCAAGGCTTCATGAAAGCTTAACACCATTATTTATATAATACAGAATACTGTACTACCTTACATGTTGATGGGAATACATATCATACTCTAAGTTGCAGCAAGACTTTGAGTTAGCTGACTTTATTTTAAGTGGATTGTTCTTGGGTTAATTTTTTACTCTCACCAATTGCCTGAAAATGGTTACTTTCAGAAACAATTTATCTTTGCAAAATATATTTTATCCATAATACATAAACATATTAATTTACAGTCACAATCACAGAGAAATAACTGTTTGGTATCTTTGATCTCTTCCGATGTTTAGGTCAGGTATTTGTGAGAGTGGATCAGCAGGGATAACTTGTCATGTCAGTGTGGATCTCAATTCATGAAAGGTCAGATCAAGGTCACATGGCCAACTCACATTTGATCTGCCTCACCTAAAGTTTACCCTCCCTGACACTACCTGGGGTGGAAATTCTGATCTAAGTGACCTATAATAATACCTTGTACTGTATGTTCTCATGTCGGTACTGGTCACTAACATGATGTTCAGTAATTTCGGTACCGACACGACAACCCATGTCATTTGTCAGGTCAGGTCAAAATTGCACTACCTTGAATCCACCATTAATTTAATATGCATGAAGATGAAAATCCAAAACCAGGCCTGTGGCTTCGAAGCCGAAGGTGGTGCTATGTTTCTGGCTTCAAAGTCAAAGCCTTTACAGAGTTCAGAATCAAAATCTAAAAAGCATGGCTTCCTGTAGCTGAGACTGACTTTTGCCCCAATGCCTGAGGACTGTCCAGTTTGATCAAAAATCCAGGTTCGGCAGGAGTCAGTATTGTCTATTTTGCAAAGTGAAAAATTCAAGAGGATGGGGAATTTCTGACTCAAGCTACCTACGTAAGAACACTGAACCTATTGTAATTTTTAGCATAGACTTAACACTCTCAGGGTTATATATGCCATATGAATTCTTTTTTAGCAACATAGGGTTATTAATATATATACAGTAGTACCCCGATTTACACGGTCAATTAAACCCACAGGGTACCGCGGAAAGTGAAAACCGCGTAAAGTGAACAACAGAACATATGGGATTAATTCCAATAGAGACTGGGCCGACCCCCAAACTCCACTTTTTCCGACACAATACCTATGTTGTAGTAAAAATAACATCTAAATTTTTTGATGGTATGCTCACACAATTAATATTTAAGAGAAATACAGTCGCCAGGTTAATGTCCATTCAAATAATGGACTCAAATCCCCCTTCCCCCCTCTTCCCAGCTCACTAGTTCCTACCTCTCTGATTAGTGTTTGGGTGAAAACTCTAGATTTTAACGTTTAGTAATAAATAATACCTCAGACTAAAGTTAGGATAATATAATTGACATTTCTGGATTCCTTGCAGGTCAGGGAATATTTTGAATGTAAACTTCATATATTTTGCACAAAAGATAAAATATTTGCTTTGTGTAAACCAAATTATTACTTTAGATCTAAAATTTGTATGTCTAATGCAAAATCTATGATGTTTATATTCAAAATGATCATCATATTGTAAGAATTCCAGCAATGTAAATTATATTCTGGCCGGGTAATTTGTATGAATTTTATGAGCTAAAACAAATATCTTCAGTTAATAAAAAAAAAAAAATATTCTTCACACTGTGGTGCCAGGTGGTCGGTTGCCGGTCCCTCCCTCCCTCCCACCCCCCACCATCCCTCCCTACCAGATGAATGTGTGGGAATACCAGACTGTTTACCTTTTTAGTAATAAATAATAAATCAGACTAAAGTTAGGATAATATAATTGACATTGCTTGATTCCTTGTAAGACCAGGAATATTTTGAATATAAATGTCATATATTTTGCACAAAAGATAACATATTTACTCAGAGTAAACATTACGTATATCTAAAATTTGTATGTCTAATGCAAAATCTATGATGTTTATATTCAAAATGATCATCAAATTGTAAGAATTCCAGCAATGTAAATTATATTCTGGCTGGGTAATTTGTATGAATTTTATGAGCTAAAACAAATATCTTCAGTTAATAAAAAAAAAAATATTCTTCACGACACTATCTGTCAATCAAAGTACCCCACCTTACCTCCCCCCCTCTGCCAACCGGGCCAGATGGGGCCAGATGGTCGGTCCGTCCCAACCCTCCCCCCCCACCAATCCTCCCTTCAAGAGAAAGGTTGGGTGAAAAAATTAGATTTTAACATTTAGTATTAAATAATACCTCAGATTAAAGTTAGGATAATATAATTGACATTGCTGGATTCCTTGTAAAACCAGGAATATTTTGAATATAAATGTCATATATTTTGCACAAGAGATAACATATTTACTCAGAGTAAACATTATATCTAAAATTTGTATGTCTAATGCAAAATATATGATGTTTATATTCAAAATGATCATCAAATTGTAAGAATTCCAGCAATGTAAATTATATTCTGGCCGGGTAATTTGTATGAATTTTATGAGCTAAAACAAATATCTTCAGTTAATAAAAAAATAAATAAATATTCTTCACACCCTGATGCCAGGTGGTCAGTCGCCGGTCCCTCCCTCCCTACCAGATGAATGTGTGGGAATACCAGACTGTTTACCTTTTTAGTAATAAATAATAAATCAGACTAAAGTTAGGATAATATAATTGACATTGCTTGATTCCTTGTAAGACCAGGAATATTTTGAATATAAATGTCATATATTTTGCACAAGAGATAACATATTTACTCAGAGTAAACATTATATCTAAAATTTGCATGTCTAATGCAAAATCTATGATGTTTATATTCAAAATGATCATCAAATTGTAAGAATTCCAGCAATGTAAATTATATTCTGGCCAGATAATTTGTATGAATTTTATGAGCTAAATAAAAAAATTATACTTCACCCGTGTAAAGGGGTACACCCACCGCGGAATGTGAGCATCCTGGGTTCTGGCAGGGCACCCTGTAAACGTGGAAACGCGGAATGTGGGACCGCGTAAAGTGAGGACTTATGACCATTCAGACTTATGACACACACACACATGCACGCACACATATATATATATATCACTCTCTAAGTCCAATCCAATCCATCTCTATGGTAACACACCTCAAAGTACTTAACAGTGGAGAAAGTCAAAGGGCAAGCACTCATTAAGAGTGGCAATACATCATCATCTGGTTGTCTGGCAGTCATACCAGAGGTCACAAATTGGATGGTCAGCTGCGATCTCCTCAACTCCTGCTTCTCCATATGTGGCCTCAGTTTATTGATGAGTGTTTGCTTAAGCTGTAATAGAAATAAAAGTATTTCTTACTCAAATTTATTCAATTAGAAGACTGCTAAACTTGAACAGTGCAGAATAATACAGTACAGTACAAACATACATAATATATGGAATATGAAAGTATTCTCATTCGAGAACATTATTAATTTATGTTTACAGTACTGTACCATATACCCATATTTCATCTTCTCCAGTTCTTCATGTCATATAATACATGGGGAGTTGTTGTGAAAGAGGAGTACAACATATTTTACAGTACTGTAGTAGGACTGAATGAATCACAATGAATAAGATTGAAAGAGTCGAGAAAAAATGTTTTAACCTCTTCACTACAGGTTGCCACTTCTAATATTTTATTTTGCTAACTCTAGACAATTTTATTCAGCAGCAGGGTTAATCATATCAGTCTGAAGTTACAGTAATGGCTAAGGTGCAGACTCAAGATATGTAGTTTCAGGACAAAAGGACAAGTCTAACACAAATGCATTACATGTTACAAGTTTCTGTAAGGTGGTAAGAGCAATGAATAAGTACGAAAGTCGTTTACTGATACTAACCTCGTGCCTCCCTAAGAAATATGCTGGACTGTAGCTAGTAGCTGAAGTGGACATATTAGTATCGAGACATAGTTCTGTGGACAACAGATCCCTCAGTATCTCTAGTCGGGCTTCATTGCTAATGGAGAGTTTACTTGTAATTCCAGCCATTGTGAAACACTCTCTTGGATCCCGTTCCAAGTGTACCTGTGACAAAGACGAAAGTTTTTACTCACTTACAGATTTAGAATTCTAGTTATAAAATGGGTAGGGTGTAGGCTAACATCCATCAGCTTTATGTTAAGATTTCACAAGTAAGGGTATGGCAATGAGAGATGAAGTGAATGAATTACAGTATTTCCTTGCTAACCTGGCCCGTAAGCCACGCCCCTCGTCTACAGCTACAAATAGCTGATTGGTTGTTCTGAACGTTTTACCTCCCCTCGGACTGTGTGTATATAAGCTCGTACTTATATTGACCATTTAAAATTAATATTTCAAATTTTCTAACATCCTCTCTGAGGTGCTCATGCCTTGAAATGATTTGCATTTTGATAGTACAGATAGCTTCAAACATAGGTTGGATGGATATATGAGCAATAGGGGTTGGGTGTAAATGGGACTGCCCAGTATGGACCAATTGGCCTGCTGCAGTTTCCTCCATTCTTATGTTCTTATAATAACAGGTCTGCTTACCAATTGTGAACACATTTAGTTTGAATTTTCTATGAACCAATCTCAGCTATGAGTATAGAAGAGGGGCGTGGCATACAGGCCAGGTTACTGTGTCATAAATCGGTATATAATTCACTACTAATGCTTCTTATTTCTAATGGATAATAACAGCATAAAAAGTACTGAATGGTTAATGAATATTGATGTATGTACAGCAAAAAATTCTTCCATCTTAAATCACAATTATTGTACTGTACATAACACCTGATGTATTTAATACTGTACAGGTAATGACCATTGTGCAATGCGGTTCGGGGACTCAAAAACCCATTGAAAAGTGATCGATCTTATATTGATATTAATAACTTATGGGGAAAAATATGTTCTGTTTCTGAGCTCCTGAAGAGCCCGAACAAGTTTTTATATGAAACTATAAAAGTTGTTGAAAAATCATTACAATATTCTAATATGGCTTAGAAATAAAGAAAATATAATATACAGTGAGTTCTGCTATAACGTGTGTTTTGACAACGCGAATTTGCTCTAACGCGATTTATGAATTGAGGAACGATATTTGTAAAACGCGAACTCGTTTGCTCTAACACGATTCCACTCGAACGGTTGTTATGGCTTCAGTTCACGTTCGACATCACATGTTCAATTGAGTTATGTGTTTTGTTTGTGAAGAATTGCAGAAATAATTTATGTAATATTTATGTATACAGTAAACCACTCACAAGGTCCTACAGTGACAAGAAAGGGAAAGTGACCTTGACTGTGACCGCCTGTGGCTATTTTTAGCCGTCCTTGTGTTCGGAGGTGGTCAGTAATGCATATCTGTATATTTACTGATCATAATACTTATCTCCTATAAATAATTAATTTGAAATTTATTTTTTGCAAAGAATATTCAGTAAATGACTGCGTTAATTCTTGAAACTACCGACAGTGGTAAATTTAGGATATAAATGATGAACAAAAGTCACGTCATGGATTAGGAGTTTGGTCCTTAACGATCACCATAAATGTACATAAATGTATATAAATTAAAGAAAATACTTGCAGTATATTTAATATATTACAGTATATTATAAATAAATAAATAAACAAATAAATAAAAATTCCCTTATCATCCTGTGTTATATACAGAAATACTTGAGTCCCTGAGCGAGTACACAAAAAGAAAACGGACGACTAGGACATGTTTTGTGGGCGCTGAAGCATAATATGAATAATATGTAAATTACAATTTACTTGTATATATATGTAAATTGTAAAAATTTAAATAAAAGAGAAAACTAAATACGTAGCGTTTAAAGTGTTAAAGTGTACTGTACAGTGTTGTGGCTTGGCTCAATGTTTACAGTTCACGTTCAACATCACTTGTTCAATTGATTTACAGGTATGTGTTTTGTTTGTGAAGAAATACCTGTACAGTATACGTAAATTGTAAAATTTTAAATGAGAGAAAAACAAAATAAGTAGCGTTTAAAGTGTACTGTACATTGTGGCTTGGCGCGGGGTTATGCAGTGTTTACAGTTCACGTTCGACATCACATGTTCAATTGATTTATGAGTTTTGTTTGTGAATAATTGCAGAAATAATTTATGTAATATTTATGTACAGTGGTACCCCACTTAACGCGGTCAATTGAACCCAGAGGGTCCCGCGTTAAGTGAAAACCGCGTTAAGTGAATAACAGAACATATGGGATTAATTCCAATAGAACCCAGCCCGACCCCCAAACTCCACTTTTTGACGACAAATAACTATGTTGTAGTAAAAATAACATCTTAATTTTATGATGGTACATGCACACAATTAATACTTAAGAGAAATAGAGAAATACAGTCGCCAAGTTAATGTCCATTCAAATAATGGACTCAACTCCCTCCCCCTCTTCTCACACTACACTCACTGGCTCTTCCCTCTGAGAAATTTTTGGGGGAAAACCAGGTATAGTAATAAATAATTCCTCAAACTAAAGTTAGGATAATATAATTGACATTGCTGGATTCCTTGTAAGACCAGGAATATTTTGAATATAAATGTCATATATTTTTCACAAAAGATAACATAATTACCTAGAGAACAATTTTTATCTAAAAATTGTATGTTTAATGCAAAATATATGTTGTTTATATTCAAAATGATCACCAAATTATAAGAATTCCAGCAATGTAAATTATATTCTGGCCGGATAATTTGTATGAATTTTATGAGCTAAAACAAATATCTTCAGTTAATAAAAAAAAAAAAATATTCTTCGACACTATCTGTCAATCAAAGTACCCCACCTTGCCTTCCCCCCCTCTTCCAACCGCGTGGTCAGTCCCAACCCTCCCCCCACCCCCCACCAATCCTCCATTCAAGAGTTTTTAACATTTAGTATTAAATAATACCTCAGATTAAAGTTAGGATAATATAATTGACATTGCTGGATTCCTTGTAAGACCAGGAATATTTTGAATATAAATGTCATATATTTTGGACAAAAGATAACATAATTACCTAGAGAACAATTTTTATCTAAAAATTGTATGTTTAATGCAAAATATATGTTGTTTATATTCAAAATGATCACCAAATTATAAGAATTCCAGCAATGTAAATTATATTCTGACCGGGTAATTTGTATGAATTTTATGAGCTAAAACAAATATCTTCAGTTAATAAAAAAAAAAATAATTCTTCACAGGGTAACAGATGGTCGGTCGGTCGGTCCCTCCCTCCCCCCCACCCCCCACCAACCGTCCCAAGGAGATGTGTGGGATAACCACTAAATTTTAATAAATAATACCTCAAACTAAAGTTAGGATAATATAATTGACATTGCTGGATTCCTTGTAAGACCAGGAATATTTTGAATATAAATGTCATATATTTTGGACAAAAGATAACATAATTACCTAGAGAACAATTTTTATCTAAAAATTGTATGTTTAATGCAAAATATATGTTGTTTATATTCAAAATGATCACCAAATTATAAGAATTCCAGCAATGTAAATTATATTCTGGCTGGGTAATTTGTATGAATTTTATGAGCTAAAACAGGCAGTCAGGCAGGGTGGCGGGTGGGGCGAATCTAAAAATAGCTCTGAGCCGGACACTCACCGCGTATATGATGAAAAATGCCGCGTTAAGTGAAAGTTCAGCTTTGGCAAGGCACCGTGTATATGCGAAAACGCGTTAAGTGAAAGCGCGTTAAGCGGGGTACTACTGTATACAGTATACCTGTACAGTATATGTAAAATGTAAAATTCTAAATAAGAGAAAAACAAAATACATAGCGTTTTAGACCCGCGCGCTCTGTTTACTCCACACTTTGTTTGAAACACGTGTGAAGTTTTTAAGTGTCCTCAGTGAATTCTGATTAATGTTTCTCCAATTTTGTGACTATGGAAAAGAAGAATATCTCTGGGAAGCACTCTGGTGATCGCATTTCCGGTGGTGATCGTAAAAGAAAGGCTATAACATTTGAAGAAAACCTTGATGTTTCATGACTCCTCAGCCTCAACATCACCCTTCTCCCCCATCAAGTTATATTCATATTTTTTCAAGGTAAAGCGTAACATTTACTGTATGATTTCATTATTAGATGTGAATGTAACATTTATTTAGACTGTGCTATCCTTTGTGTTAGGCTAACTACGAAATTTTTTTTTCGATTTGGAGTAATCTGCACCTAACCCTATTTTCTCCATAAGCCCTGTTATTTCTATTACACGAATTTCTATAACACGATGTTTTACAAGAACACAACTATCGCGTTATAGCAGAACTACCTGTAAATCAATAAAAATGAAAAGCATGGATGTGTATGTGTGAGAAGTGAATGTGTGTGGAGGCATCTGCAGCCAAGGCCTTGGCTAATAGCTAGTTATATTGCCGAATCGCCAGCCTTGTATATTGTTACTTGCAATGAATCTGTAAGAGTTGTGGAAAAATCAGTACAATACTGTGGCTTGGGAATAAAGAAAATATACTAATATAAAACTATAAAATAAGAAAAATGAAGAGTGTGGGTGTGAATGTGTGGGGAGGCGGTGGGCTATAACTGTGTTGCTGCACTCACTCCTGATGTGACCTCATGGCATACATACAGTGCAGAGCAGCACCCACATATCTATGAGTCGGCTGTTTGACTGCTGGGCCGAAATGGGTCGCGTTGCAGAGGATGGTTTGAGTGTGGAAGTAGCTTTTTTTGTACATAAAATATGTGCTATTGTATTTTATGTAATGCTATGCATCGATTTTATTGTTTTTCATAGCAATAAATATGGTAGCTCATCCCCACTGCACGCAGTATTCAAACTTACGATACAAGCTAATTTTAGGGGAATTATTTTTTCTTTTATTATTATTATTTCATTTTGGTGCCAGTTAGAGTAGTTAAATCCAACAGTTACCCAGATACCAGATAACTGGGATTCTACTGTAATTTCATTTATCTTGCATGATAAGTTGCAATCTCCCGGCTGTCACTACAAGCCATTTTGGGTAGACATGCATATTTTTTTTTTAACTTTGTTACATGCACACACAATCTTTCAACAGAATGTGCAAAAAATATATATATAATATGGTCAAAAGCATACACAGAATAACAAATTTTTATGTCCCTGTGAGTTAGTGTGGCTCGTAGGAATGGGAGGAGGGCGAGGAGTAGGTATTTCACCCTCATGCTAAGCTATGAACTGCCAAGACACCTACACAGCACACACATTAACAGCACTACTAATCCATTGTCTTATTACATTTTATTTTATAATTTCTATTTTAAAATTAATTGATACATGATGGCTCGATTTGGCTACTCTTGCACTTAAACAACTGATCAGTGAATAAACCAGGACATATGGAGACGCATTATACACTAGTGATGTCACGAAGCTTTGCAACTGCAACCACAACTGCTGAGCAGCCATATAACTTATCACAACCACCAATACCAAAATAATTACACGAACCCACGCGGTTGTCGTGGTTGTGAAACAATCACAAACGAGGGTTGAAAGCTGAGAAATTCATTGGGCAGTGGGGCCCTCCAACCACTGTTGCCTTTATGTACACTATGCTACAACAATAGTTACAGTGAACAATGTTTTTAGATCTTTACGTGATAAACCTTGAACAGCTTGCTACAGGTGACCATTTGTGACCCTTTTCACACATGGAGTGTAAAAAAGTAGTAGTACAGGTTGTACCTCTCTAGTCCGGCATTCTGTGGTTCGGAAACTCCCGTGGTCCGGAACGATTTTAGTTTGTCCAATAGGTAGATAGGCAGCTTTTTTTTTTTTTTTTTTTTACTTATCTGAATTATTATTATTATTATTACAGGAGTTTTAAATTTTTGCCCCTCAGGCCCCAATGTGGGTCGGTGACCTATGCCCAGGTGGGCTAATCCCCGTAAAAAAAAAAAACAAAGCCGCGGGAAATTAAGGTTTGTTTACATCCGGCAGTTCGGCTGCTCTCTCTCTCTCTCTCTCTGCTTGTCTATACAGAGTACAACACTTAATCCTTCAATATATATGAGCAGTAAATAAGTGTTGCTTTCATATTCTTATGTAGAGTAATGACAATATGTTTTCACAGGTGCGCACTTACATACGCGCAGTCTCACTTTTTTTTTACCATTAATGGTTAGCTACTTATATTGTTCCATTTATTAACATTAAATAACATTACAGGTACTTCAAACAACCATATTATTTTTTTTATATTAATTTTACTACAGCTAAAATCGGGGTCTTATTTTCTTCAGTTTTATATGTAGAACCAATCAGTTACTGGTTTTGTAAGCTTTAACATAAACAATGCCGGCAGCCGTCTCGTCTCCTCTAATATTCCACGTATTATTAATAAAAATTGTATTGTTAATTTTGCACACACAAACATTAATTCAATAAAAGCAAATTCAGAAACATTAATTGAAATATATATGAACAGTAAATAAGTGTTGCTTTCATATTCTTATGTAAAGTAATGACGATATGTTTTCACGTGTAGGCATGCGCACTTACATACGCGATCTCTCTTTTTTCTTTACCATTATCGTTAGCTACTTCTATTGTTCCATTTATTAACATTAAATAACATTAGCTAAAACAACCATATTAATTTTACTACAGCTACAACCAAGGTCTTATTTTCTTCAGTTTTATATGTAGAACCAGTCAGTCACTGGTTTTGTAATCAACGAAAACAATGCTGTGTCATTTCCTCGTGTGTTTTAATATTCTACGTATTATTAATGAATTGTATTGCTCATTTTGCACACATAAACATTAATTCAATAAAAAAGACATTCAGTAATAAACAATAATGAATCTTTTGTACAAAAGAGAAATGACGCTGTTTACACGATTATGCACGTCGTCTGCACGTTGGCGGGCCGTTCAAACCCGTCGAAATTCAAGTTTCCGCCGTCAAAATTTTTATTTATTTATTTTTTTGTGTGTTCCAATAAAATACTTTAAGAATTAAAAACTCGCGAAATTTGAGAACCTACTATACGGCATTTAACCCTTCAATATGTCTTCAAAGAGACCATGATGCAGAGAAAGTGGTGCGAGTGCTTCCAAGCATAAGCACAAGTCACTATCTATCCAGGAAAAGGGTGAATTTCCATGGTCTGGCACTGGTCAGGTCCCGAGGTTGCCGGACTAGAGAGGTACAACCTGTATTGGACAATCTGATAAGCAAAAACCTCTTGTTTTCCCCATTAAAAAGCCATAATTTAGGGCAAAACATGACTATACTTTAATCTACAAATTGTACTCAAATGTACTAAGTTAATTAATAAATTTTTTGTCCTGTCTAGTGCAAATTATGGAATGTTTATACTTATATTAATTTCTATCTTGCAAGAATTCCAGCAATACAAGTTATATTCTGCTAAGTCAAGTCAGTGACATTTTGTTAGTAAAAAACTTGGATTCCGTCTTGTATAATTCCAAGTCCTTGACCCCTCCCCCTCCACTGACGTAGCAGAATATAACTTGCATTGTTGGAGTCCTTGCAAGATGGTGATTAATTTGAGTATAAACATATCATAGTTTGCAAAAGAGATAAAAATTTTAGTCATTTAGCTTAATACATTTGAGTACACTAAAGTAGAGTAATATGTTGCTCAAAATTATGGCTTTTCAATTGGGAAAAGTCTGCATAACTAGCACCAGTGGTCAGCATGTTATGGCATTGAATGTTACAGCGTATTTCAAATAAATTCTTTGTTTAGTTCTGTACAATGAGGGTAACTTTTTCTTAAATGCGTGATGGAGTGAGAAGACTGGTGCTGATGGAGGAGGGATGAAGACCGTTCACCCCCCAAAAATGATGTCTCTCACAGTCCCACTCTTGCTTCAGACATTCCTACTTTAACTCGACACAATACAGTACTGTACTATTGTTTATTTGTTATTTATGAATTAGTAACTGATTGTTACTGTAATAATTTGAGCTTATTAATACCAACTACCCATCATATACAGTACAATACTTATCTTTACCTTATTATTCAGCTTGTCGTTTAATTTAATTCAAATTACTGGTTATATATATTGTATTTTTTTCTGTATTAAGTACGTTGCAGAATATTTTTGGGAATACAAACTAGATTGTTTAAAATAAAAACTGCAAATATGTGAATTTGCAATAAACAAAAGTTACCTGTGGTTCAGTTTCCATTTGACCTCCTGCCTCCAGAAAGCTACATTTGCTTCTAATCTCCTGATTTTGAAGATGATTGCAATGGGGGCAAGACGATTGATCATAAAATCATCCCCTAACACATCAAATGGGAGTGTGGTAGTATGGCCAAACAACCTAATGGGAAAGTGCAATAACAAGAGACACACAGCACAGGGAATAAAGCTAGAAAGTTATGGTTAGACAAAGAAAAATTTATTACAAATTAACAGTGAATCATCCATCACCTGTGAAAAGACTGCTGAGCCCTTGCCCTGGTGAACTCGAGCAGAGAGCAAGGATGGCGCTCCCCATGTGTCATCTGTTGCGAGTATCTTCAGGTCTAAACGATGCCGACCTCCATACTCATCAACAATTTCTACATGAGTTGGCTCTACACTCACAGCTGACCTGTACAAAATGCATAAAAGATATTAGAAAATTTAGTTTGTCATTTTTGTTTCTGTGGGATTTTGTGGCTGCCAGAGTTGCCCAAAGTGGGCTGGCACTTTACCTTTATAAATGATATTACTGTACTGTAATCCATTCTTCAAGCACTTGTTTACTAGTCATTCAGAAAAGTGTGATTTCTTCCCTTCAGACTGCACTCATGAAATGGATTAGTACATCAACAAAATGTCCCTGAAGTTATCTAACATTGACCAAGTGAGACAGGAGAGAGTTGCCTTCCTTAAAACTGGATACCTGCGAGTCTTTCATTTTTACAACAAAATGATAGATGAATATTTATACTACTGATAAAATCTCACACTGGATATCATGAATCAAATAAGACACCAACTGATTTCTAGCTGATCGAAAATAAAAATACTGTTACAACCAATTATAAAGTATCTTTACAAAATAGTATGAATTACTGAAGTGTTTCTCTTCCTCATTCTTATAAATGAACAAAAAAGATGAAATATATTTAAGATACAAAATTAATTACAAAACAAAGATTTTCCCTCCATCCAAGCCTCTTCCTGCTATGGTGCAAGGTGGCTGGACATGTTCTTGAGTTCCTAAAGTTTAGAATGATGCAGATAGTGGGATACCACAAGATGCTAGTCCATAAAAAGGTTGTTCCACTATCAGTAAGTGTACACCACTCATCACTAAGTGTACAAAGATCAGTGACTGCACAAGAAGAGGGAGTAAATTTTTCACTCCTACGTTGATCAACCTGTGATCCTTCACTCAATATGCATTTGCTCTACCAACTGATCCACAGAGCCAAGGTGACACGAAGTCTTTCATTGCATACAGTCTTCCCTTAATCCTCTGACACCATCTACAGTTACAAATCTAGACCTAAGCAACTTATCAGTTCAATTAAATATGTTATCCGTCAGCTTCTGAAGTCTACCCCTCTACCTTCTATCAGAAAACCTTTTAACCCTGATTTTTTTTATTTGTGACATCGATCAATCAATCAACCAGAGTGCCATCCTAATATCTGAGGGTTGGCGACCACAGTCCTCCACTCTAAATGTTCTCGGGCTGTTTTTACCAATCCTCCAAGGTTTTGCATCTCTCTGAGGACCCAGTCTCTGCCTTCCCTTGGCCCTCCTACCCTCAACTTTGCCAATTAGTATTTGTTTTTATCCCTTAATCACTAATTACTTGTATCAGATTTAAGTATCTCATTTTTTCTTTTTATGTACATTTCACGTACAGTGATCCCTCGGTTAACGAAATTTCGGTTAACAAATTACCTTCCATAAGAATCTTCAATTCGGTTAACGAACAAAAATTCAGTTAACGAAATTTTTACGAAATCATGTCAACATGTTTTCACTTGCTCACCAGCTGGAATATTAGTCAGCCAATACAGTAATCGGTTCTAGGCTTAAATTCGTTCCCATTTGAGTAAATATCAAGAAGGTTGTACTATTCAATAATTTTCCAAGTTTTATATTAAAATTTTTAGTCATTTTAACAATTATTTAACATAATTGAAGTACAGGAAACGAGTTTTTAGTGCGCCAAACAGCCACTCTACTCACCAAACAGGCATCACTCTGTATCTCTGGTCAGTAGAAGTAACATCTTGCTTGTGGCTCTCTTGAACATAAACTATTTTTACGTTTTTAGTACAATTATTGGTCATTCTGAAACTTATTTTACATAATGACAATATATAGTGCAGTGCAGTGTTGATTTAAAGAAAATAATCTTGAATTAGGCCTTTTACATACACACCTCAAAGTAAGTGTACTTTACTGCATTTATTTTTACTTTGTATGTAATTTTTGGTGAGCTGGAACCAATTACCCAAAATCCCATTGAAACAATGGTTTCGGTTAATAAACGACCTTCTGGAACGAATTGTGTTCGTTAACCGAGGGACCACCGTACTGTATTTCTCTTGAAGTTTTTGCTCAGTATACTTCATTTGTTTTCCAGTCAGTGTAGCTTATTCTTAGCATTCGCCTATAACACCACATGTTTTAGGCCTCCAACCTCTTTCTGGTGTCTGCTGAAAGTGTCCACACATCTGACCCATACAATAGTCCTTGCCATATAAAGCCTTTCAGCAGCCTTTTTTCTCAAATTAAAGTCAATGTCTCTCTTCGTTAAAGTCTTTTAGATTATCTAATGCTGTTTGTGCTTGCCTAATTCTTGTTTTTATTTCTTCTATACATCCACCACCACAATTGATGTTACTTCCCAAATACACACAATTTTCCACTTTAAGTTCCCTGTTGCCTACGATAATGTTTATTTGAGGATTTACAGTATTTCTAATTTTAAAACATCCATTACTTTCGTCTTTTCAACATTAACTCTTAACCCTTAGATTCCCAGGCATCTTAAGACCCACTGAACCCCCACACAGGCATATTTCAGTAAAAAAAAATAAACATTAAATAAAATCCATTGTCACCTTATAAATGGGTTAATAGATATAATAAAAATAGTAGAAGAATGTACGTACATCCAACTTTCATTGTAGCATAGTTTGAGAGTTGTCTGGAGTGTTGATGAACAGTGTAGAGTGATGAAATATATCTAGTATGAAGCTACCCCTGTGCACCCACAGCAAGCAGGAAGTGATTTTGAGACACACTTGCAACATACAATTCTTACTTGAAGTCACTTTTATATCATATATTTATCCAATAGCTACCATAAAACACAAAATATCTCTATTTTACTCAGAATAACAATAAAATACTAAACAGTAGGAATATTCTGGGAGCACAAAACTTTTCACTAATTTCAAATAAACTATTTGCTGCACTTCTACTGAATTTAGAATTACTTGATTGTGTGGAAGTATTTGTAATAAGGAATGCACACAGCAACTCCACACTCTTTGCACCAAGTTGCCATATCTCTGCACTGTGGTTCACTGTGGCTGGTGGGGTGGGGAGGGGAAGGAGCACCAGCCTATCACTGTCCTCATTGCCTCAACAAGCTCAACATCATCTGAGTTCTGTTTCCTCCCCATCATTGTCTTCATCACCTGATATTATATTAATGCCACTCAAATCAAGCAACTGTTGACAAACAGCACTACTGTCAAGCAAATGCCTTTGCTTGTGCTTGGGTGTGGAGGAGTGAGGTTGGTCAAAAGATAAGTCTAAGGACATGCATCCCTCACAACATCTGGCAGGTAACTGACCATGGAGCACAAGTCTTGAGACAAATGCACGTGAGTTGAATTGCCAATTACTGTACATAAATATCCCATACAAAGTATTTCTTCTCGCCTGGACTTTCAAAATATGCCGCAAAAATTAAGAACGTTCAGAAACATCACCTGGGATCACTCCTAACTCCGTCCCTTATTTGCTTAGGATGGCATACCTCTAATAGATTTGGGACACCACTTCCCCTGCTTATATTATGTTAGGTTAAGATGACACTTGCACAGCAGCGGAACATCACCCAGGTTTAAGGGTTAAACCATATTTTTCACTGTTTTCCACTAATCTGTTAACTAGTTTTTGTAATGCCTCTACACTATCTGTGATAATAGCAGTAGCATCTATAGCATATACGTATTTGATATTACTTTACCATTAACTTATAGTCCTTCATTATCACTCATAACTTCTCTCATTAAGAATTCTGAATATATATTATAAAATGTTGGGTAGAACACAGCCTTGTCTTACTCCCTGTCTAACTGTGAACCAATTATTAAGTTCACTATTGACTTGTGACAAGAAACTCTCCAAATAAATTATTTTAGTTTTTATTCACAATCCAGTGGCAAGGACCTATATCCCCACTTTTGCCACATCACTGACCAAGCAACGGGTGCATACTGTACACACAAAGTACTGAAAGGAATTGGGTAAAGGGTTGAAGTTCAGTATACTTTGTTGGGTATTGAGCAAGGCATTCAGTTAATAAAGCTTACTCAGGTTATGGCACGACACAGTTCCTTCTGTGCTTAAAATTCTCTACACTTAGACATAAAGGTAAGAAAATCCCAATGTCTGGTGGTCCATTCCTAAAATCAACACTTCTTACCACACTTTCTTCTTTATACTTAAAATCAACACTTACTATCATACTTTCTTCTTTGTGCAGGACCTATAATTGACACTTCTTACCTGATGTCTGTGTCTTTAGTATTTTCCAATTCTCGAGAGAACCGTTTATGTTGAGGCGATGAATGAAAACAGTGCTGGTGGTGAAGTAACTGGACACTCGACCAACGACGGTAGCTGATGGTCACCACTGCCTGCTCTTGAACTTCTACGGTTCCTGCAGTTATAATCTAAAGTCATTTATCCTTCTCAGTGGAGGATTGTGCAATCATAAGAATATTTCTAAAAATAAAATAGTGAAGGTGAGTTCCATATTAATAACTATTAATCCATTAACATTTAATTAATATAATGCTTTTCAAAGTCATCTTGAAAGGAAAAAACAGTACAGCTTGCCTTCAGCTAAGGTAATTTCAAACAGCAATAAGCCTCTCAAAATTAAGAAATAGTGAGACATTCTATAGTGCATTTTTTCTCAGCTGAGAAGATATGCCCTGCCCCTTCTCAGTTATATTGTTACCAGCAGAGGCGGGAAATACGACTGTGAACTTCATAATTCCTGCCTCTGCTGATAGCCGTGTAAATATTTTAATATGATTCTGATCTTTTAAAATGTAAGTTTTTGCATAATGTAGTATTACTGATACATAATTTGTCTTAGTATGCCTTATTGTAGGTAAAAATAAGTACTGTATACTGTACAGTATATTAAATGCATGCTCCCGAAGTGTGAATTTGCTACCAGAGTTTAACAGTTAATTCATGTATAATACTTATGATAAACTTCCTACGTACTTATGTTTGAAATAAAGAATGTGTGTATCTTTATATAATTTAGCTAAATATATTTCTCGTCAGAAACAGTTACCCCAACGATTATAAATAAACTCATTTAGAAATGCATCATTACTTCAAGACAAAATTGGACAGATTTGAAACCGCCAATCAGCTGTAATTCTTGAGGAGGGAGCAGGGCATCTTTTCTCAGTTGAGAAAAAAACACTATAGTACAAGGTCACTGCTGCAGCATTGATGTCTATTTACAATCAATATAATATACAATGCACAAAAACATAACCAGACTTCTTGCCTTGAAGCAACTTTCACAAATATTCAGTCCAAATTTGGCAATAAAATATTCACAAAGTTACTCACTTTGCCCCTTTATGCAGAAAAAAAATAGCTCCAATAAAATATAAAATAATGTTCATAAAACATAGAGAAGTCCCTTATCAATATCAAAAAGATATTACCTGTACAATGTCAACTATTCTTGCATCATATCAATTTACACATGTTAATGCCTCATGTCATTATCACACATCATTAAACAATTAGTTCAGTAGATCTCATGTAATGCAGTCATATTGCATAAAGGAAACTATGGCTTATACTTTTCAGGCTATAGTCTTCATTAATAACACATGCAATTATCAAATAAATTTATCCTCCTAAAGATACAACACATCACCAACAAAACTTTTGAACCCTATGTTCAATAAAGTTTTTCAAACAATCTACGTGTGAGATCACTTCAAAGCTCATCAAAATTTACTCATTATTATAATATATGGCAACATGTGCATACTATACAAAAGAGCAATACAATAGTACGTCACTTTACTGGACTAATTATTACCTTGGATGGTCAAAATGACCAAAATTCCAGCAAAACAAAATTTTGGCACCTACTCCACCTCCAAACACTGTATACAATATAAACTCGTATAATCTGGCTCTCCTTGGTTAAATTAACTTAATGTTTACCAGTGTTTGCATATCTTCACTGTGTATGTGCATGCTGAACCTATGTGAACTTGCGAGATGGCTTTTGCTTAATAAATACTAATTTATATATCTTTCATACTCAAATAATATGGAGAAGATGTGTCCTTAAACATTCAAGTTTACCTTACAATAAGTTTTATATTCCTATACCAGCACTGTATCATACCCTCCATCATTCAATACAATACAGGTGGACCTCAACATTCGAAGGGGTGACATTCCTGCAAAGTGCTGTGAATGTTGAAAAGTGGATGTTAACACTTATATTCATGGAAAAACATGAATTAGGGACTACACGAATGGCAAAGTTTGGGGAAATTATAACTAAAATAAAGGGTAGTCGAGATCCTGTATACTGTATATGAATACAAAGCTAAAACTAAAAATGTAGGAAATGTACTGTACTGTACTGTACACAGTAGTGGAGGTGGAAAAAACCCTTGAACGTACTAGTGATGATGGGATGTAATGATGATGGTGATGGTTGTGGTAAACATGTTGGTGTGTGCAGGGGTCTACTAACCCATTTCAATAATCCCTCTGTTTTAGATGATATAGACAGGGAAACAAAACTTTCAAGACAAGAACAAAGAAGAACCAAAAATGACAGTAACTCGTGAGAGAAAACATTACTCTAAACTTGGAGTGATTAAGTGTGCTGTACATACATTATTCAGTGACTATAGTGCTTAACTTCATTGCAGTGTGTTCGGTTATCTGATAAATGATTGTACTATATAATACTGACTCTAGGTTATGCTTTATAGTCAAGCTTATGTTCAACAAAAGTGGAAGATATGTTTGTTAGGGTCACACTGGGTAACACTTCCCAGGAGTGTCTGGGCTACAACTCGAACCCATGGCATAGTGGTGAGAGACATATGCATTACTAATGTACCACCAACACTTTGTTTGTTTGTTTTTGTTTGATATTAAACCTTAAAAACATATTTAATTAAAAAAGAATTTAATGCTCCTGTAAGAAGTGAAATACTGTATTAAAAACATATTCAATGGTTGTCTTACAATAAAGGTCACAGCCTCAATTTAAAGAAGCCACAAGTACAGAAATTTGCCAGCTAACTTTTTTTGCGTAAGAGTTATGAACTGTTGTAATAACCCACCAGAGTATTGTAACAATAAATTTATGAACTTTTGTATTAACCTGCCAAAGAATGTTTTGACAGAAGTACTGTAGTTGTGAATTGTAGTCATAACTTGTCAGAGAATGTTGTGACAGTAAGAGTTGTGAATTGTTGTAATAACCTCCCAGAGGATGTTGTAGCAGTGTAACAGCACCTTTGCTTTATATAAATGCACCTAAATGAATAACACCAAGGTATTTTCATGTTATTCACGACTAGATTACTTGGCTTGAATCTTCCTCAAGGGTTGAGCCAGAGTCAGCTGATTTAGCAAACACCGGCTGGGTCTCACATGGCCAGGGAGTGGCAGTTCACTACTACCACTGGACAGGGAAGCTGGGCACTTAAGTGTTATCTCTAAGTGTTATTTACAACACTTCTCTGGAGAGAATTCACAATATATCCTCTCAGATTGTACCTGTGTATATATGTGCTTCAGCAATAAAACAGAAAATGCCAAGAAGTGTTTACATCAAGCCCTGCTACTTAAGAGTTCCAGAACTTAATTAAAACAATTAGTGTGATACCAAAACAGCTATTACAGCAGTAAGAGTTGTGAACTGTTGTAATAACCTGCCAGACAAAATCATGACAATAATGAGTGTGAGTTCCTTTAGCATCAAACTTGACCAACACTGACACATGTTTTAATACATTCTAGAGTCTGTATATGCCCAACACTTGCCAACAGTGTATAACAAAGAACTGACCGGCCATCAAACTGGCTAAGGAGTCAAACAGTGGCAAAGAGGGGTTAAGAGGGGATTATTTAAATATTCACATCAAAAGTAAGTGTATCTGTATCTTTTTCTTCTTTATACTACCAATGCAGCATTATCTATTTTACTTTTGTTTTTCTTTATGCTGTAGAATATAACAAAATATTCAGTCACAATACAAAATATCCTGTCCTGTACACTGTAAACATTTCTTGTAAAGTGATGATTGTGGTGGTTCATTTACAGTACTAATTTAATTTTTTTCTGGCCTAATACCATGCAATATCTGAACTTGAAAAATGGGAGTAATCTAGGGTGCCAGGCTGTATCGAAGGGTCTACTGTGTAGTATGTGAAAATACATACAGCAAGAGTGCATAAAGTGAGGACTACCTGAACATGTTTAGGTTTAGGTCACTGTGAATAGTCAAAACCACAGACGACAATTCATCAAATGTTGAAGTTCACCTGTACAAAGAAAATCATTACTAAGCAGTTACAATGATATGCTTGTGGTGATTTATTATACAAAATTCCCTGCCTTCAACTGTAGTTAATGTGTATCTAAACAGCTGAGCACAATGTAAATACAGTACAAAATATGTACAATACATCCCTGCAAATACTTAGATTTTATTTAATTAAATTGTATAAATCTTAAAAATACTATAGTGTGATCCCCACCACAATGAGTGACATAAGAGTGTAAGGTTACAATATATAAGAGGGAGGACAGCAGCTGCCACCACCTTAAGCCCCGTCCACACGATCGAACAGTGCCCGGCGGGCTTTGCCCGTTTACCGGGCAAAGCCTGTGTGTTATTGGACACACAGGGGTGGTTGGTGGCGGTCATAGTCGGGCGCCGGTAGCTAGTAGGTGTTCGGCAGTGGCGGGTGCGATACGATCACCATGGTGTGTCGCAGGAATAATCGCCGGACAGTTAAAGCGAAGAGCATAGCGTTGTGTACTATAATAATTGCTGCTATGTGCAAAAAGAAGAACCAAATGCAGAAAAGGGAATGGTGCAAAGAGTGGTTAGGTCGAAGAAAAGTATTGGGAAGTCATGCCACGATTTTACGTGAACTGCAAGATGGACATGAGCAAGACTTCACCAATTACATGAGAATGGACCCCAACAACTTTTACAAACTTCTCGCGAAAGTGGAACCATATATAAAAAAACAGGATACCAATATGAGGGAGAGTATATCTGCAGAGGCTCGTCTAGAGGCAACGCTCATATCTCTTTCAACTGGGTGCTCCTACACGTCACTTCAGTATAGAACGAGGTTATCAAAACAAAGTTTGTCTAGCATAATACCTGCAACTTGTCAAGCCATGTATGAAGTACTCAAGGAAGATTACTTGCAGGTGAGATTTGCAGTACATAAAAATTCATTGAATAATGTTAGAATTATGATATGCATAGACAGGAAGCTATGGGACTAGAGTGAGGAGAGCGGCAGGAACGAAGAACACACACGAATGTCCTCATTACATAATACATAAACAATCTCCCGTTTATTGTCACGCCAATAATGTACATTGCATAAGCTTATTTGGTT